ATAAAATTTAAAATAGTAATAACAGTATTAATAAGAAAACCACTATAAACAGATTGTTGGTGGAAACGTAATGAAGTATAAGTGAACACTTTCACAGATAATACTGTGATAATAATTTTCGCTTATACTTTGCAGTTCATCTACTGATTTAAAAAGTTTGTGAGTTCTTTTCTGACATCTGACCCTCCTCACACAAAATTTGTGCTAAATATGGTACGGTAGAATTACTATATTTAGTTGTACGAGAGTATATTCTTATGAAGTTTCTTCTGGTTTTGCTCGAGGATATACAAGGCAAAAGTTGAGAATAAAGAGGATGTTCAGTAACAAAAGATATAACAACTAATTCTCATCAACAAGCTGCACATACTTCATCGTTTCTACAAAGTTCAGCACTAACATCATCTCAAGAAACGAACAAACTGTTTCGTATTCCAGTCAATGAAGCTTCAAAATCTATCATTTCAGAAGTAACCTGCCCGTTAGGTAGATTTTCCGAAGTTTCCTCTCCCATTCGTGTGCTATTTTTCCGTTTGAACTGTTCTCCTAGAGCAACTTATGTTTGCGCTCTTCAGAAAGACTTATCTAAGCATCCAGTAAACTTGTACGATTCGCTTCGGAGAATCCAGATAACTGGTTTAACTTGCTTTATTCAAATTGATTAAGGTGAAAAAATGTATGGAATCCAAAATTATTCCCCGGTGTGTATTTTGCTAATTCACTAATCAATAACTGCTACTGTCTTGCTAACAAATTACACATCGCAAAGTCTAGCATATATCTCAATTATTTGGGCAGCTTTGTTTCACTTACAAATCGCACGGATTAAAACGTCAAAGGTGGGGTTGGAAAGGCAAGACAGTCACTCATTACTCCGAAATCTGTCAGAAAATCTACTGCAATCAATGTAAAAAAAGAGATTCAGATTTTCAAGACTGATGTCGAGTCAGTTAATGCTTCCATATGGTTCTGAGACTTGGCCCGTCACGAAAAGCATTCCCAATGGGTTACTGTGAACTTTCATCAACAGCTACCTTCACTCAATACTGGAGATCAGATGGACAATTAGAACGGATCGACCACAAGGAACTCTGGGGACCGACCAAATCAGGACCTATTGCCTAACGAAAATGCCGAAGGAAATAGATGTGGATCAGACACTTGCTGACAAGAACATTGAGTGACATGCCGAAGTGGAATTCGAACGAGGAACAATGAGTAGGGCGCGGGTTCCAGAATGAGACAGAGGAGGTCACATGAGCAGGAGATGAGAGTTTCCGAGAGATCATGCAGTCAGCCAAAGAAAACTGAAGAGAACGCGATGAAATGAAGAGGAGCTATCAAAGCACTATGTGACACTTGCAACTCAAGGGAATAATAATGCCAAGTTTGACATATCTGGAACCGGTTAAAAAGAAAAATACTGGATTTGCATTTCCCCAGATCTTACATTATCGCTGGGTTGCAAGAGTTTAGTCATTTTTCGTAAATCAGCAGCTTGTAGTTTCACCCTCTTAATGACTATTTCTGATTTGCATTTTACTACAAGATAAAAAGTAGTCGTTAATTAATAAAATCTAAAGACAACTACTAAGCAGACCGTTCATCTTTTATGAGTATCTTATGTGATCAATGCGCACTAATCTACCGGTCCATTCCATACAGAGTTAAATTGAAAGATTTATCTGACCCAAACGTTTGCGGTCAGATACATATACATATTTAGACTGCATATTTTGCATATCGATCATCATAATATCCGAAGCTAAATTTAGATTTCTTTCTTTTGAAAAGAATTGGTCTTGCAAAACTCAGTGCAACAAGCAACGATGGTTAATAAGGCCGGATATAGTGAGTTCATCAAATTCCGGTAGAACACTTCAGCTGAATACGCTGCATACAGGTGTATATACACTAATAAAAATACATTGGGAGATACAAGATTGATAAGGAAATAAACTAAATTAAATGAATCATGCAAAACGACTCGTGTGAATGCTTTTCAGGTCATTTTCTAATAGATAAGGGGAGGAAAGGAGTATGAGAGATTAAAATTAAGATAAAATGCCATACTGTCCAGTTACATGACTTAGATGGACGATTGGTCATCAGAGAAGGAACTTAAATAACTAGAGAATTGCGAACTGAGTAATGATAATAATAGTAATAATGATGACGTATTACCATTGTAGATTCAGGGAGACGATCAATTCATTTTATACACACAGATGTAGTTTATATACTCTACTTGTACATGTCTCTGCGGTTATCATTTCTTTCTGCAAAAACTGTTTTTCTTGCTCTATTCAAATTCTGGATTCTTTCGCAGGAAATTGGTCCGAGTGTAACTGGGTTATTCATTACTTTTTGAGATTTCTTCCTTAATCAATAGCATCGTCTTGGTGAAAATAGTCTGGTGAATTCAATAAACAAAGACCAACTGTTACTATTGCCTTATTTACGAGATATGCTCATCTTACATCTCCTTTCCAACACAGATATCTACAAATAACAGATTGTATCTCTATAATTTAGGACTTGAATTTCTCACAGAAAAGAAGTCCGAGTGTGACCTTCAGGATAGCAAAATCAGGGAATTCCGATTTTACTGTCGCTAAATGTTTGATACATTTTGAATTCCGTATTGATAATGAAATGTATCAACACTATTTCACAGGATGGCTTGGATTTGGATGAGTCAGGTCGAGCTAATGAGTTATGCTTCATTTTCAAAGTATTTTTGTTAGAACTATCAACGAGTTGCGAGTAAACATAACAAGCATAAGTTTCTTTACTTCTTTTCGTAAAAATTAGGACTACCTTATCCTTGAATTTATGTAAATATCTGTCTGGATATCGCATACAACTTGAAAATTTTAGTTAATCCTCTCTCTGCCGAGATTTATGCTTGCATTTTGAAAAAATACATCAGTAAACCATATCAGCTTCAAACTGTTAAATACCTCCTAATTTATATATTCGTTCTCGCGAATTTACGATATATACATATGTTTGAGTCGATGGTTTAGTGGTAGAATGCTCGCCAACCACTGGAGTGGTCCTGGCTCTTTTCCATACCAATGCACTCATGAATCCCACCTAGTTTACTACCCTACAGAAAACTCGAGAAGTGTGAGAATTGCAATCTCACCCCATAAAAGACAACACTCTCTCTGCTGAGACCCTAGAGCTTTGAGCCTCATGTTCCACTAATAACCCAAGGCAAAGTAGTAGGCAATAACTGAAAATCTTGCTAATTTAACGGCCTGAAAGTATTGACCCATACAAGAGGAATAAAATCGAAAGCATTCGTCTCCTTAAAATGTTAGTTTTATTTATTTGCGATAAAATATCAATTGACTATCAGCATTTTCTCTCTTCCATTTAGGTTGAGTTATTTTAACGTTAAGTTTGCATTTTGCACCTAGAAAATCAAAACAGATAAGAATATTTAGTTTTTCAGACAAAATGCAATATGTAACGTTATGAATCACAAAGATAAGAATGCTAAGTTTCGCTAAACATTTCAAAAGTAAGAATATCTATTATCATTCATTCTATTGGTTTCGTATGGAACATACGGGTTCACTGGCACATCTTCACTCGTTTCCCTGCCATCATTTTGAGCTAACTCCACGACTGACCACAGGCTTTCATTTCATCCACGCGTGCTTTCCACCTTGTTATCGGCAGACTCATGCCTAACCCATCCTGTTCGGGTTCCACTGGATTATCTACCAGGCGAGTCATGTTAGTTGAGTTTCTCTTTGACTTATGCCTAATCCATCTCCATTTCATTCTAGGAATTACTTGAGCGATGATTTCTTGATTGATCAACTGACACAGCCCTCTACGTCTCGTTCAGTCAAATCATCTGATCTTCAATATCCAGTCAGTAAAGGCAGGTGTTGATGAATGCCTGTATCGACCTGTTCGAAATGCTCATAGTGACGCATGTACCAAGCCTCTGAAACATATTGACTCAATTACTTGACATTAGTGCTAAAAATCTGAATCTTGTTCGTTAGGCTTGACAAGTGATTTGGAACGTCATATTGATTTTGGAGTAGTGAACACCTGTCTATCCTACACAGTGGAGTATGTTTATTCCATAGCTATATCGCTTTAATGTTTATGTATCCATTTCACTTATTAGGAAGCGCATGGATACTATGTTACATAATGGATTCCTACCTTGAATAATTCACTCTGACACTTTCCGAATTGAAATGAAATGTATTATTTCGGGATATACTCTGTTGAGTCGTTTTTTCCTTATCTTCCCAATGGAACATACAACTTTAGGTATTTCTGCAGTTACAGTGACTTTGGTGTTTGTTTCTATGTCCTAGGGTTGCTAGCCAAAAGCCTAACCTTCCATTTTTTCCAGGATTACTATTATCTAGTAAATTAGCTAAGGTTTAGGTGGGCACCAGTGTGTAATCGAGCCTGGAACTATTGCGTACCTGTCAGGCATTCTACCGATAAATCACAGACATACACAGAACTGGCTAGTACCAGATTTCCGCTTCCTCTAAGTCCATTCCACTTTAGCAGTACGTACCCACGAACCCACTGGGAATCGAATCACAGACGTTCAGAGTTCGAGGCGATCCCTTTTACCATCCAGCCACTAGGATTGTTGAGATCTAGGTATGATATAAATGATACACAATTCTCATAAATTAATAAACAGTAGACCCAAACAATGTGTTTATTTAGAAGACAATCACAGGTGGTACTTAAATATTCCGGGTTATCTGATTTCTTTATGTGAAGTGTATTTGTTTAAGCGTACTAAGAATAAAATAACTCTCATCTCAGTAAGACAAATGTCTGCTATTCAGTACATCTATATCTTATCCTATGAGTCAAATGATTTTAAACTTTGGAAATAAGCTCACCAGCCTGACAGTGAAACAAAATTAACCAATGAGAATTCTCTCTTAACTAATGCATTACAACAGTAATATATTATTTAAAAAATGATTAAAAATTAGTTAATGTAAATTAGAAGAACAATCTAAACAAATATTCGATTTTGAATATAATGAATGTAGCTTACACCGATTTCGTATAGTTATCACTGTTGGCCAATCAGGCATACCATCCAAATATTGATAAATAATAACTCGATATTTTCGTTTGAATGGGATCTTCATAGCCTTGAAATTATTTCTGTGGTTATGAAGAACTGACATTTTAAGTGAGCTTGCTGGTGAATCACGCAAAATAACCATAAAATATGGTTTTTTTAAGGCGATTTTACGCACTTTCCATGTCAATAAAACCACATTTCGAGTAAGTTTTCTAATTTTTATTCTCGCATATATTTTTGGAGCTAAGAAGAGTTCTGAGAAAAAAAATACATATGTGAATATATATATTTCCTGTTAAATAAATATTTCCATTTCTACCATACTGTGATTTATTATCAACAGAGTCACTAAACTATTCACCAATCAGAATTAATTTTTGATTGAATCTATATTTGGCTGCATGTCCCTTTTGCTCCATGGTAGAGCCTTTTACCATTTAGCAAGTGGAATGGAATTCGGTGGTCTAATTCGAAATCCGCTAAATCCTTGTGATTCAACAATTGAAAATTATTCTAACAATCGCAAGTTACTAACTGCAGGATGCTGTGTCTGGAGCTCCAGTGAGGAATGGTGACCAATGTGGTCTACTAAGTCTGCTGTCCGACGGGGGGGTGGGGGTTGGGCTACGCATTACGCAATGACAACATGTAAATTTTTAGAGTGTTAATTTCTGTCCTTGTGCCTAAGTAGTCGACTGGTGGCAAAGTTAAACGTTAAGCACTACTAACTACAAATCAGCGAATGACCTCGAACGCACCAATCACGTGGAGGAGGCATTTTTGTATATGGAATACATATTTTTATCAAATGATGCATAAAAACTGTAGAAAAGTGTTACAGAAGATACCTTGCTCTCACATGTGAGAAAAATAGCTCTGTTTTAGGTTTGAGTATCAACAGAGTGTAATTCCATTGTGGGTAAAATTTATTTTGATAAAGTTTCATAGTGTAATAGAGTAATATTTCATGAGCAATAAAAATTGTGCTCGAAACGTAATAAATAAATATTACTGTATAACACTATGAGAATTTATTAAAATAAATGTTACCAACAATGGAATTATACTCTACCACAGTTCACAAGTACTATTCTTATATCAACCGAGTAATTTAAACACATTCTATGCATGTAATTATTTAGGTCTTCTAACCCTAACAATAACCCCAATCTTTCCTGAACCTAACTCTAACGTGAAAACATCCCTAAACTAACTGTAACCTAACTCGAACCAAACTAAGTGTCTCCTTTATCAGGTTAACCTAACCCTAAATTGTCCTTGGCTTAAAGCGTAACTTTCCCAAACCTAAGCTCAAACTTGCCGAAATCCCATTTAATAGCATAACACTTCGATAAGCATATTTTATTGATGGTGACAACGTTGTTTGCCAGGTTTCACTAACTAGCTCAGTAAGCGTTTCAAGGTCACTGGTGCGGTCGCGCTCCATTGGTAGTCAGTAATGCTGAAAGTTTAGCTTGGCCAAGCTGACTAGCTTTTTAATTTGAAGGTCATGGTTTCGATCAAGGTTGGGGTCACTGATGCCTTCCAAACTTTAACGTAATGGTTTTAAATAAACAACTAATCAATGGCTTTATTCTGAACAAAATGTTTACGAAGTGTACAGAGTTCTCGAGGTAATTTATTGTACAATATTTTCTACTCATCCATGATCTTCAGATAAACTAAAAGTCTATAGTGCATCACGTGACGCAAAGCTTTTAGATCTAAAGAACAGACTAATCTCTTATGATATTTTTCCTTAGTCTTCGCAAAATGTGCATCGGTAGTTCAAAAGCCGAATAAAATGTGCGTGAGTGCATTTTGTGACTAAAGAACATAGTTCAGTGGTTAAGACAACAAGAACTGGAGAAAACATGATTCGTTGTGTTGAGTTAGAATTCAGATAGCCTATTGATTGATCCAAGCAGACCACTTGTTCAATACTTCCTGGTTTTCAGTGGTTTTCTAAGTGATATCATTTTGAGCTCTAACTACAATACTTGCTGTTGTGTGTAAGTAGTTAATTAAAACGTACCTTGCTGAAATGTAGAGTATACTGAAAATACGGTTAAATTTTATAAAGTTGTGGCAATGAGTTAAATATCTTAGTTAGTGAAGGCAAACATTTATGAACTAAAAGACTGACTGCTACCATTCTGAATTCAACATGAATCTGGCATATACTACTGATAAGATTTATCAGTAGCATACAAAGAGATGTTTACCGGCATAAAGATATCAAATAGAGCAGAGATAGATTTGACGTCAAAGAGAGGAATTGAACCAGTATTGTGGCAAAACATGGGAAAAGAAGACAAAGAAACACAACACGAAGGGCAGAAGTAGCACAACAGACATATGTGCAAATAACGATTTGGAGATAAGGTGTACATAATTTCGCTATATTGAGCGAAATCAAATCTCTTTACTTCTACTGTTACAGGGGATGTAAAATGTTTATAAAATTTAATTTGCGAATGCCTCGTTCATCTGCTCTCCACGTGTTGATGAGCTCAGATTAGAAGAGGAATAGATGTATGAGTTAGCGTTTCTGACATGGTCTGTACACCAGACGTCCAACCCTAATCAAGATTAGAGATTTTGTGAGTGGATTTTTATTAATTCATGCTATTGGTTATGCGAAGTAAATACATAATTAGCTGTAGTTTTTGGTCTTATTTCCTTTTGCCCGTAACAATAAATGTTGGCTTCCTCAGTCAGTCTTCTGCATCTCGTCAGTGTGTGAATAGTAGTCAATTAATTAGTCGAGTATACTGTCGAGTATTTAAGTAAGAGTTAGACGAACTCAAATCCAATATTATCTTCGGTTACAATAGTTTCCTGTGAACCAGCATCGTCAGCTTTTTCCCTGATTTGAAATCTGAAGAGATTATTCCGATAAAGTCCTATAAATGAAGAGATATTAGGAGTAATAAGTATATACTCACGTTGCAAGAAGATCAAGAGGGACTGTTAGGTTGGTTCAGATAACATAACGAATTGCACAACCGTGCACATTGGAGATTCAAGCGTCAGCTCACATGAACTTGACAGAATAACACTCCCATTATTTCAGACTCATATGGATCTAGGGATCTTAGTCATAACCTGAAAATTATGGTACACTGTCACCGGGTGGCAGCTCGAAGTTTTAAGTCATTATAGGCAATACGTAGAGTGTTTACTAGCATTACCAACCAGTGATATGCTCACTTTTTATATTCATCTCTGTTAAGGTCAAAACTGGAAAACTGTATCCAAGTAGGCAGTCGTTGAGAGAAACTCTTACAATCCAGAACGGGAGTGAAGCGATGCAGTACGTATGATTATCGGTATGACCAATTTACCATAAAAGAAACACTTAACCATTTGAATCTCTTCCCGTCATCATACCATAGACAGACAGGACATCTCATTACAGTGTTCAAAACTCTAACAGATAACTATGAATCCAACCTATCATCTCTTTTTCTCCATCTGGGGGTAACATCTCAAAGGAGATTGAAGGAGAGTTCAAAAGCTAAAGAGGTGTTATATCTCTGTGGATTACTGGTTCTGCCACCGAAACATGAAATCTTGGAAGGGATTACCAAAAGAAGTGGTATCAGCGCCCCCCAATCAACATGTCCAAGAAGGCATTAGACAAGCACAGAAACTTTTTAGAAGAGGATTAGGGTGGGTTTCATTCCTTTTTTCATTCTAAGTTAATAAATCTGCAATCTGTCAGCATTAACTTTATGGAGAGGGTTCATGATGAAATACTAGAGCAGCTTCAATCCTATTCATGGGCTGCAGATATCTACAATATTTAAAAATATTTACACTATTCAAAAAGGCTACAGGCAGATATTATATGAAAAATAATATCTTTCAATTTTTATTCACTGAGAAATGCAAAAAGTATTTACAACAATGAACATCTTATACTCAATGGTCATTTTTTTTTCAAACCACTGAATACTAACAGATAATTTAGTAAAAGTAGTCCGAAAATTAAATAATCGTTCAAGTGTTAGTTTCTAGGGTTTTAATTAGTGTCAGGTTTGGTCACGGACCGATATCCGTTAGAGAACCACTGAAAACCAGAAAGTACTGGACACCTGTTTTGTTCTGGTTCGGAACTCCTTAGCAGTATGCATGGAGTTTCCTAACTTCGAGGATATAACACAGGTTACGAGGCGAGCATGTTGACCACTGATCAACTGGAACGGAATCCAATGGCCATGGAATTCTAAAATCTGCCAGTTTGTGATCAATAACGATACGAATTTTAATCCTGTTTTTATTAAAGCTATTGCTTCGACTCACTAATTGAAACAAAATTGATTAAAATGGTAATAATAATAATACTGATAATCAACTTACTGGGTGCTCTAAAAGTGATACGAGTAGGTATTCCAAAACTTCCTATTTGATTTCCCGTTGAAATATCTCTGTTTGGATCATGAGCGAATAGAATAACCTCATTATCTTTTTTTCCAGTCACTTTAATTTGTATTTTACTGTTATTTCCTAACATTTGTATAAAATTTCTTTTTTTAGTGACATGGACGAAAAGAGTGTTGAAGTGTTTGCTACATGCATTGTTTCTTCTGTCCCAAGTCATTTGAAGCTTTTTTGATTTTTTTAAACGAAAACGTATATTTTCAAACATTGCGGGGACTTTATGAAGAAAAAGAGAAGTTTCTTAGAGTTTAATACAATTACACAAAGTTTAAAATCACGTTAATTCGATAAATATGGCAAAATATATTTCCAAGAGATTGTTTGCAGGGATTTGATTTGTTGCAAGATTGATCTTGGATTCATATCAGTTAGAGAAAACCACTGAATACCTGGGAGTATTGGACAGCTTTTTCCTCCTGGCTTGGGATTCTATGGCAGTAAGTATCCACTGGTATTAAAACCCACAACCTGGTTACAGGACCAGCAAATCGACTATTCACTTACTGGAATCCGACTGAAGGTTCCATGAATTTCAACTTCTGAAACGTCCTCGACTTGGATAAAACAAGTGTCAAGTGCTCCCTGATTTCCAATGGTTCTGTGGTTGATATCGGTCTGTAATCAAACTTGAAGTAAATTTTAGTGAATAACACTTATATCTGATAATTCGATGATTCAATATTCATTTGTTTTCAGTATACATATTGATACGAACCAGTATCACTCAGAAAATCATTGGAAACCAAGAAGCTTTTGATAGGTGTTTCATCTTAATTTGAGTCTATATCCAATCTTCTCTTTACTGCTGAAAAACTCCTGTCTCGGATGAAACATCTGTTCAGTACTCTGTGGGTTTCCCCGGTTCTCTAGCTAATGATACTTCATGATCAAACTTAGAACCAATCAAGGTTCGTCAAATGAGAAAATACTTCAAAAACTAGAAAATCAGCTTTGAAAATCAAAAGCTTTGACTTGGAGAAATAATACTTCACATAAGACAGTGCCCAGAACTCGAATTATTAATATACTACAATTAAACAGAAAAGATCACTAATTTGCTGAAGTAACCTAGGTTTACGAGATAGCTTTATTGAGAATAGTGGTAATCATATCTTATGAAGAATCTAAATGAGGTCACTATTTTTTAACAAAACTTTGTTGTTATTATTATAATAATTTTGGTGATATGGTTGAGTTCCGAGTGGAACATACAGCTTCAACAACACATATCCACTTTCTCCCATTTTCTGTTATCCTCTTCAGTTGAATAGCCACACGATAGCCGACAATTTCTCATCTCTAACTGACACGATGCACCTCCATGTCACCCTCGCACCGACGACCCGTTCGTTGCATCTTATTTGGATTCCAGTTGAGCGATGGCCTGCATTACGCGCAATATCATTCCACGGCTCCCTCAATGTATGTCCAGTCAACCCATCTCCACTTTCTCCTACATATTTGTTGAGCAGTCAGCTCTTGCTTGTTGGCTAGTTTTTTCCCAGCCTGCCAGAGTTTCTTCTCACTAATTCCTTTTTGCCTGTCGGCTGGCCATTCAATCTTCAGTATGGAGAAAGCCAGTGAAGGCAGTTGTTGATGAGAGTCTGAGGTGGCCTGTCGGAAATCATTTACGTGACGCGCAGTGCAAGTTTCTCACCTGTATAGAAGAACTGACTGACTGATTGACTGACTGAATTAACATCGGTGTTCAACAGAATCCGATTCTTGTTGTGTATACTGGCTGAGTGCAGTGCAGAAGACTTGCAAACTGGTTTCAAGTTGATGAAGGCAACTCTTGCCTTTCTGATTCTAACTGGCTTGACATTTTGGTCCGTGCCATTGGCGTGTGGTTAAAACCGTACTTCCTAGATGAGTGAAGGAGGTGACCTCTGCTAAATCTCTCCTTTTGATGGTGATTGGTGCTGACTGTTGTTGTGGTTGTTTTTGTTGCTGCTGTTGTTCGCTGGTTATCTTCACCATCACCGTCTCCTCTATGTTCAACTGCCAGTTGGTTGCTTTCACCTGCACGTCCTCGAGTTTGTGTGACACTAGGCATGTACCATCCACACGTGAAATCTAGATCTTCTTGAGTCTTCTTATTGGCGATCCAGCGTATTCTTCTCTTCTCACTCACTGTGCACAGTCTTCCGAAAAATCCAGTCCACCACAATTGAGTTTATCATCAGTGATCATAGATTGACAGCCCTATCCTGCTCCTGTATTCAATTCGAAAGCCTCACTGAGGTTTCTGTTGCGAGTCACCCTACTGACACGTGGCATTGTCAAACAGCCAGCTGCTGATTGAGGTTGATAAAGGACTTGAGCACTGCACGCCGTAGTGTAGAGGAAGTTTCCAAATTACTTCTCGACCAACACTGCCTGTCAAAGGCATTTCCAATGTCGATGAAGTTAAGTTATAGGTTTGACTGCCATTCTATGCTTGGTTCTGTGGTGATGATGATGATGACGATGGGTAGAGTCGAAACGTAACCATCACATAATTTGACTTTCCTGGATCCAGCCAGCTTGTTCCGGCTGGTGGGGCGGAGTTCCGTATCGCATGCATCCTTTATTCTCTCCAGGATGATGCCACTGGGTATTTTACTCGGCATGGACAAGAGCATTATTCCATTCCAGTCAGTTCTTGCAGAGTGAGGCGTAAGTCGCCCTTCCTTAGCAGTTTGTCGAGGTATTCAGGCTTCCTTCCATCGGTAGGCACCTCAGCTTTCTTCACTCCAAGCTTTGTGCAACGATGGCATCATTGCATCTGCCGAAGTCTCTCGGTCCGTTTTCAGTGCCCCGGGTTGAGGGGAATTCCGTCTGGTCCTGCTGCCTTCCCGGCCGGTGTTCAGTAGGTTCATCGCACTCAGGATTTCTGCTTTCGTTGGAGGATTGGTGGCAGGCAGTTGCGTGCGTGCGTAAGTGCGTGCTGTTGTTGTTGTTGTTGTTGTTGTTGGTGGTGGTGGCATATCTGGCTGAATCGCAGGTGATTTTCGATTAAAAAGTCCTTCACAACAATCAGCCCATTGTTTTATTTGCTCGCCGCTTCTCCTTGGTGATTAAGTTCACTTGAGCATCTTTCATTGGTTTCATCATCTCGAATGATGTCTTCCCAGATAGCGAGCAGCCTAGTTATCTGATATAATGTCCTGAGGTCTCTTTTACTTGCGGCCTGCCTGTTCTGCTTCAGTTGCCGGCCAGTGTGTCTTTTGTCTTTCCCAACACTCTTCTTCACTTTTCTCTTTATTCAGTGCAGTGTACATTGAACTCGGCTTCTCCTTCTGTTGTCTAACTTTTCATTTAGTCATCTCTCTTCTGTTAGCTTCTAGGTGGATGTCTGTTGAGAGCTATTTTTTTTGTCTTGTCTCTTCCTTCTTCCTAGAACAGTTTTACACGTTTCCTTGAACATCACCTACCTTCAGAGAGTTCCAGTGTTCTTCCACACAGGTTTCATCAGTAACGCCACTCAGTGTTTCAACTTTGCTCTGATTTGATCTGTAGTGAAAACATCCTTTGTGGTTCTGTTCTTCAGTTTCTGGATTTTGAACTTGAGTTGTGGCCTGTCTCTAGTTGTTCTGAGGGAATTCAACTCCACCTTGAAGGTTCCTTGAACTAGATGATGGTGTGAGGCCACATCTGCTCCTCTTCCCGACTTTGTATTGTATCCAGCAGGCTACGTCTCCACTCTCCTGAGCAGCGTTGAGGTGAAGTCTCTCCGGTTTGTGATTTGTCCGTCATGCGAAATCCATTTTTCCTTGTGGAAATCCTTATGCTTGTATATGGTGAATCTGACTACCAAATGATTGAAAGCGCAGAATTCTGTGAAAAGTTTCCCATTGTCATTCATTTGTCCGAGCTAGCGCCTCTCAACCCATGATGAGTTCTCTTCCTGTACTGTCTGCTCCCATTTCGGCCTGCATTCATAGTGCCTTTGAGAATTTTGATGTCACCATTCCGGATGTTCTCCAGTAGTATTTGTATTTGCCATGAAAAATTTCTTTCTTCTCTTGTTCCACGTAGTTTGTAGCACTGTGCGTGGCATCGGATAATTGTAACCCAATTTCCTTCCTTCCTTCATAGTTCAATCTTGCTGTCATGATTCTGGGTGAAATTGGTTGTCACTGCATTGGGACTTTGGTTGCCACTAGTGACACCATGATAGCCACTCACTGCTTCAGTGTGTCTGTAGTTGTCCTATGCGTGGAGGACCAGATCGGAGTAGATTATTGACTCTCCCGTTGAGAATGTTATCAATCCACATTCATTCCATCTACTTTCACAGATACTTAGTACTTCTATACCATATCTACGCATCTCTTTGGTTACCTGGGCAGCCTTCCCAGTCTTGTAAATTGCACGGACACTCCGAATCCCCATTCTTATTCTTGCTTTCACTGACAGAAAGGAGACATATTGACTGGCTGACTGCCTTCTCGAAGGCGGGCTTTCATCAGCCTGGTGTGTCGATTCACCTCTCCAATTCCAGAGAAGTATAAGATTCTTATTTGAATTCTTTATATTTATTATTATATTTTCTGTGCGTTACAGTTTCTCTAGAATTTTGATAGGTTTAATGGTTTGGGGCTTGGAACCACCTAGAGAAATAGCAAGCTAATTAATCAGGCGAGATTATTACACATAATTACATAATAAGAAATTTTACGTTCATCTGAGTATTTAGGCTATTAATGTAAGTAATGGATACATTTTAACGTAGACTATGATTTACATATTTATAACCACATTAATTTCAAGTTATAAGGCAGCAACAAATAGATGGCCTTCTTTCAATGGTAAACACAATGAGTTGAATACAGTTACAAATTCGCATTGGTGTGAATATATAGTGTTAGTGGATAATTCAGCTGCTTTCGACTTTCTCTATATTTCATACCAATATAAGTTTCCTATCCTCATCACTAGTTACTGTAAGTGTAGAATTTAGGCACCTTGGAATAATTATAAACCCATATTAGATATGTTCATCTGATATAAAACACAAGAAAAGTAATACGGTCTTAATAAATGGATCACATTTCAAAGACACATTATGACTGGGAGAAAGTATAATTAGTCAATATAAAGCTAATTAAGAGGGTCTGTAACTTAAATTAATATGAATCCGAACAATAAATATTGCTTGAAACGTCATATAATTATTAATACTGTAGCATCACTTTGTTACATCAGATAAACTTGTCTAATATGGGATTTTGTGATGAATATAATATCAACCATGAACTAACTTACCTTCTTGGCACTCGTAAATAAACGATTTTCGCCACCCTTATAACACCAACCTTTACTGTTATTGTTCTTCTTAGATTTTTTAAGTATTAGTTTTTGTAGGGATTTTTTTTTAATTGGTTGGAGGATTTTATTATGAGCTGACATCAGTTAGAGAACCATCGGAAAAGCTGCAGGGAGTAACGGACAGCTGTCTCCTCCTAGTTTGCGACTCTTATTCAGCAGTATGCACCCATTGGGGGTTCGAACCCATGACCTTCTGGTTACAAAGCGAGCTCGTAGACCATTAAACCACTGAGACCCGATCAAATGGCCAGCTCATGAATTCTAACTTCTACCAATCCATGACATAGCACGGCCACTTCGCAATGTCTTCTTCGATGAGTTACTGCTTCACCTTCAACCTACTGCAGCAGTGTCTGCGACACAAGAATCACAATGTTATATATTTAAGAAGTTAATAATTATATTGGAAATAGATAATAAATAGACATAGAGTTAATCAATTACAACTTACTATAATGACATTTACAATTTGCAAAATTTAATACTGTAAATGTTTCGACACTTATATACTCAAACTCGTATAATTTACACGTATCAGTGGTATTAATAATCAGAGAACTTTCAGTGTGTTTCAATGCATGATAACGAGTTTGATTATGACTAATCTTTTCAGTCATAAATATAGATGGTTTTGAATAAAACTGTGGTTTTTTCCAATTTAACAGGATATTATGATCACTAATTTGTTGACAATGTAGATCAAATTTATGGCCAAAGCATTTAACTGCATGTTCCAAAGAAAAATTTAGAAAAAAAAAGTTAAAAATAATTAATGGCAGTTTAAAATTAGAACAATATAAGACAAAAATGTTTAGTAGAATTATTAATGCATAATCCTTCATGTCATTTACTAGTTTAAACTATAGTAAATTATGCTTAGTTTAAATTGAAAGATGTTCAACAATATTTATTGTAACAGCAAAAATAAGAGGACAGGAATACGTCGCTCCACAAAGAAGATTCTGGAAGATTTGGGCTTTGCGGATGATTTATGTGTAGTATCAGATACATTCGAAGATCTACAGGTGCAAAATAACAAGTTGGTACAAGAAATGATAAAGGTAGAACTTTAAGTGAACATAAAGAAGACGCAGGTGGTGAAGATAGCCAACCAACCAATAATAACAACTAGCACTAGTCAATGTGAACGATAGAAATTTGATAGAGGCCATCTACCTCATTTATATGACCAGCATTGTTTCTCCAAGAACGTATCAGCCAACGGATATAATAGAGAAAATTGGGTTAGATTCTAAATGCAGTGAAGAGAATTTTGAGTGATATCATTGCCAAGCAATTCCTTGTTTGCGAAGGGCTATACCTTTTAAAATGACACGGAGGAGACCGTATGAGGAGGGAATAGAACATATGGGCAGTCGTGCAACCAGCTAAAGAGGACTTCAGATAACAGGGTAAAATGGATAACTTCCACTCAGAATTCAAGGACATTATATACGTACATGCGAATGGCTATAATAATGTGTAGTGTGGACTTGTGATTCTCAATGCCTTCTCTCATTTGTGACTAGAAACTGGAAATCTCCTATTTCTTAAGGAAGCAAATTCATTCAGACAGTTTACAGTTCATGTTACATATGTGGTTACATTTAATGAAATAACTATCTGTCTATTATATATATTGTATTTTCTTACTGTATTTTGTTACACGGAAACTGTATTCTTATCAACATATTCGATCATATATGAATTTCGTCGGGAGGTTTTTTGAAGTCAACTTCCTGAAATAAATCTTTCAACCTGTTGAAAGCTTTTATTCATTCTTAATCAAATGCACTATTTACCTTTATCAAGCAGATATAGCTTCATTTATATTCTAAGAAAGTTTAGTTTACAAAGAAACTTCAAACTACAGACTAGTGATGGAATGTCTGACCGTATGAGTAGGAAAATAAAATGTGGCTTAATGAAGAGATTGTTATGGGTCCGCCCGTTCATGTGAGGCCAGGAATATTGGTCGTCTAAAGTGTATTCTGTCTAAAAGCGTTCAAAAACACTATTCTGAGTGGTTGCAGACGGGTAATAGGAACTTCATAAGCACTACAGTAACTGCACAGCTTGTGAACACCGATCAAATTAATCTCAGCAAACTTCTTCTTCAAAGTGATATACAAAGTGAAGACAGACCTATCAAAGATAATACGCTTTCGTCTTCTGAACATTGCTGAAGCTCTAGTCATCCAGATGTAGAAAACTGAGCCTTTCATACAGAAGAGGATCCTTCAACTACTCCTACTCCTCACGTAACTTTTACATACTCATCTAGCTTTCCGTATGCACTGATTAATACTTGCGGCTATAATTATGACAGTTCTTTTCTTTTGTAGAAAAAATTGAAAATAAATGTGACTGTACAGCCAAAGAAAATGAATTCTCCGAAAACAGTCTCTTCGCTAAACTACTTGTTTTGTTTGACACTAACGCCTGAATGGGTATTCATCACATAAACTTTAAACAAATAAAGTAAGACAAAAATTTATCTGCATATAAACAGTACTTGGTTTTATGCAAATTACAACTAACAGAGCAGGACATGTCCTAATTTAACTAGTCTGTAGAGTAAAACTCAGTCACACTTAATCTACAACCGAGGGTCAAGAGTAAAATGCATATATTTTATTCAACATTATTTCACAAACAAAAGCTGATTAATAAATCAACAGTTTTCACCGGCATTAAACTTTCATACCAAGGGACCATTAAGACTTATCAATGCTTTTGAAGTCGAGAAAGGAAAAAGAAAAGTCTATCTGCTCTCACCAATGATTTTCCGAATGGTAAAGGAACATATCATGCTGTAAATTGTAGGGAATAAGAAAACATGCGTACTTTGAGCTGACAAAAAGACTGTAGACGATCTAGATTTCAAAGATGTTTTATTTCTCGTGTTCTACAAACTCTGAGACATACAAGCGCAAAACACAAAGCTGTCAGAAGAGTCAGGGAAGATTAGACTTTTTGTGAACACAGAGAAAACAGACATCATTACGATATCCTATAAACAATAACAAACACCATTTACGATCAATGGGGAAAATCTTAAAGAAGCCATCTCTTTCAGTGAACTGATTATCATGGTTCCGACTAAACGTAAGTGGCACGGATGGAGATATGAAAGCCAACCAGGATTGGTTGGGAAATTCAAGACATGCGTTTACTGCTTCGAGATCAGTGTAGACATCTACTGCACTTCTCAAGTACAAAGAAGAAGATCCGAATTTCTAACACTAGTATAAAGTCATCGCTTTTTATATGCTTCAGAGTCTCGGCAGAAGCGTCAAGAGAAGCATTTCCAGTAGTCCCCTGCAGACTTTTATCAGCAAGCTAACTTCATATGGCTCGATACTGAGGACCACATAACCAGTTGAGTTTATGCACCTTCCGAAACGCTTAGAATTCCAATATGAAGGAATAAGTAAACCGGTCTATCAAAATTAGCCAGAGTAATATCACCAGAAAAATAAAGTCTTTCTTAATCAAAGAGAAGGAATGAAACTAACAACACAGAATATTTCTTTGTAATCGATTAATTTTGATATAAACAAAATAAAATTTAACCTCTCATTAGTTTAGATAATGAAATAATAAGCTTTCAGATATACCATATTGTAATATGGAATAAATACTCTACAAACTGAGATATGCATAGTGATAAATATACGCTTATATATATATATATATATATATATATATATATATATATATATATATATATATATATATATAATTTAATATTATTATTATTTTATTCCTTGATGTTTCACTTGGGATTGTAAGGCTTAAAGCTAGAGCTTTGAAGTCTTGGTAGCAGTGGTGTTGGTTTTTAGCCTCATGTCCAACATCCCTTCTTTACCGTCTTTACCCTCCCTTACCGCACTACTTTACATCGCTAAGCTGTTAGTAAGGCTAGTAATGAGGGAAGGTTGGACATGAGGCTAGGAACTCCAACCCGCGAAAACAAACACCACTGCTACCGAAACTTCAAAGCTCTAGCTTAAAGCCCGATGTCCCCCCGAAGAACGTAAAGGAATCAAATTATATATATATATAAGTCTGTAACTTACATTCACAACAAGTAGTCAATAGAATTAATACAGGTATTAGTGAAGATGATGGTGACAATAATAGTGAAAACATTTTTTAAATTAAATTGAAAATTACTCTGTTGAAAATCTCTATTTATATGAACAACTCTGATGAACGACTAGTAAATGTATATTAGTTAACCAACTGAAACTAATCAAAAAATGTTAAGAAATTCTTGAATTGTGCAATTTGGACATACATATAAAAGTAAACATTCCATATTTTCTATCAGTGTGTATTTCATTCTACGCCTAATAAAAGAAACAGTCTTCACATTGAAAAATGAACGGATGACTCATTCATCAGAATAAGAGCAACAAATACAAAGAAATGATAATTGGTAGCATAGAGTACAATGTGAAAAGCTAACAAGTGTTTTATAACACAATGCTGCATATAATCATAACAGGAATGACTGCGGTAAAATATTGTTTTCACTCATTTGGTTGTTGGTCGTCGTATTTTGCACCTGATACCTGGATGTGTATGTATCCTCAGTGAACCATCGCGTGTATACTGAAACTCGTAAGAAGAAAGGGTCGCTTCAAAAATCAAAACTTTATACTCTAAGTCACGAAAGCTAATTTCTGTGCAAGGTGTGTCAGTTATCATTGGAACTCCATGTTGACTAATTTATATTCTACTGAAATGCACTGTATCAGATAGTATTTCATCAACAGAGCTCAATACGGATCCAGCTGAAATGCCTCATATAAAGTGAAGTGCACATCTTGGACTCCTTCACTCACTATCCTCATCTGAATGACTTCGTAGAGTGTTAGGCAAAGAGGGAAAATCAATCGACGAGGTTATAAAGTTACATAGATTGAGATGGCTAGGTCACGTGCTGCGCATGCCTAACCACCGCCTCCCCCAACGGGCATTTCTAGCTGATACAGGTGCAGGTTGGAAAAGAGCCAGTGGTGGCCAAACAAAAACATGGCCTCATCAATCCATGAAATCCTTGACAGTTAAACTGAGTCAGGTAGGGAGATGCAGACTCCCGGGTTGGGGCCCTAGGGACTCTAGGAATCAATGGCTGGAGACAATAGGTGACATGGCTCAAAATCGTTGTCAATGGCCAGCGCATACGTATTCAGTCTCTGTGATCTTTCATATTCCTTTCTACCATTACCCATTCTGTTTCACTCTTATACTTGTCAGACTGTATTGATTCTCTTCACTCATCTTCTTGTCTACCTCTGTGTGGCAACTCGAACTGGTGCACTTCGGTGCCAAGTTCTATGTTGAATCCAGACAGACAGACAGAATGACTTCGTGTTAACTATCAGACACCACTGAATTGCCTAGTCTACAAAACAGCATCTCAAAAGAAACCGAGAACTTCGCTTCCTCTTTAACAAGTCAGACGTAAATTCAAATTAACGTATACAAATACTGCTTTCCAATAACTTTTAGTTCATATTGTAAAATTATAAATCCAGGAGTAAAGAGTGATAAAACTGTCCACAGCATAATATTAATGCCATCCTTTATTCAGTTATAATAAGCAGATATCAAATTTAGAAGATGGATTTGTAGCCAGTCGAGTGATGGTGAAGAGTTAAACTCAATATGAACAGAACAATGAAGATACAATGAGACAAAAACTGCCGGTGAAGATTATTTAAGTACAGCAATCTTTCTTTCTTCCTTCATTCGTTTCAGCTCCAAGCGCGACATAGTGCATCAAGCCTGAGCTTTGAATCTGCATTGGTAATGGTGTTCTCATGGAGTGGGGTTGTAAATCTCAAATCCAACCCTTCCTTTCTACGGGGAATAACGGCGGCTGAGACAGGTTTAGGAGAGTATTGACTGGGAATCAAACCTCAGATCACATGCGCTATTGGCAACCACTCTACCACTGAACCACCGATTCAAAAATACACCAAATGAATCTTTAACCGCTCGGTGAATCTCTATTAAAATATTACCACCTGACGATGATAAATTTGCTGATCCAGAAGCAGTCAGTTAAGGGATTACTTTCAGTCAGTCCTGCCTAAATTATCTCCAGACTCCACAAACTTTCATGGAAAAATTAAAAGTAAATCACTCAATGAGAAAGTTTTCCAGTTTAGCTCTAACCCAGTGGCCATGATCTGACAAGTCGTATAAATTAATTTGTCGGTAATCATTCTTCGGTTTTCTCTGTCAAAACTCAATTTTCTGTCGATCCTGTTCGATTTCCGTACTCTATGTGCTGGGCTAATTTATATTCCACCATTTAAAACACCAGTTGTTTTGAATTACCCATCAATCCGTTTTGCGTCAATTTCTATTTCACGTTGACATTGATGTAGTCACAGCTAAATCAACCATACTTTCAAGTATACAATTAGCAGGAAAATGAAGAAAAGAGGCACTACTCAGGGGGTCAATGCTTGGTAACTAAATATGCTTAATTGATAGAACATTGTGTTAACACTATTGAAGCCGTTGGTTCGTACCCCTCTGCGAAGCAATTCTTCATTTTGTCTTTCATTCTCAACAGCCATTAGAGCACCATCCGTTAGCCAACTAAACGCAATTACATCAACAGAAATATGCATAGGAATTCACCTTTCTACCATAATATCAAAAACAGTTAATGATACGTCTACAGTGAATTTACCAACTGTGTATGTGATACTCCGAGATCGATCGTTCCTCGCTCAGCACTCAGTGAGACATTAAGACAGTGTAGAAAGAAAAAGCAATTGTTTGTTCATAGTATACTTTGCTACGTAGGAGAAGGTGGAAAGCTGAGAATAAGAAACTCTCGTAGAACATGACTCATCCCTAAAAATTCTTTCTTAGTAAGTGATACACACCTTTTTACTTCTCAATGAAGTAGTGTTGTCTAGTAATTGCAAATAAAATTCAATGTGTAGTTAACCATGTTATAATAATATTTTATCAGTTTGCTCAGCTCTGAATAGTGGAAGTTAAGTAGAAATAATTTTATCTTTTTATTACTCATTCATCTGAAGTTAGTCTAAAAGTCTACTGCACTGAACCTGATGAACAAGGTTTGGATTTCCAACACTCATTTCAGTCCAGTTCTTCGATATTGTTCAGAGACTTGAAGGTTTTGTCACCAAAGCCCATTAGGACTGGATTCAAATCTTTGTCAACAGCTAACTTCACTCACTACTGAATACTAGATGGCCAAGAAAGATAAGCAACAAGGAACTCTTGGAACCAATCAAGAACCCATTTCCAAAGAGATGTACGGAGTGAAACGTCGTATATGGATCAGGCATACGCTGAAGACACTGTCGAGTGACATCACGCACCAGGCAATCTTTCGAGTTGGAAACAGAGGAGTTAAGAGTGTCTGAGAGCGACATGGTGGAGATCATGTGTGGAGGAGATAAGAGCCTGTGAGTAAACGTGCAGAAAACAGGATGAGGTGAAGCTGTGCTGCTGAATCCATGGGATTATTGTTGTTATTATGATTATCCATTGAGAAACAAAAATCCTGATAGACTGAATGAATAACTATGAATAGTCGCTATTAATCAATGTAGAATTAAGTAGAAGAACGGTCCAGTGTATAATTTTTCTTCTCTACAATTTGTTTCAGTTTATTGTAGTTTATCTTCTCAGTTAACATAAATGTTATACTGGCCAAAATTAACAATATGAACTTATGAATTACTGCTAATGGGCTCATTTCTGTCGGTTGAACAATGCAACGCTTAGAAATTTTGTTTACTTTGAAGATCAACTTTAATGAAACGTGAAATATTTTGCACTAATTAGGAACACAATCAGGTTATTCACTATTTCCACATAGAACACATATAATTCAGCCAAAGGGGTTTCCTTCCAGAAATTCATATTTATTTATTAATTGCCTCTCTGTTCTTCTTATATATTGTAAAGTTGAAGTTTCCTAGATTTAATAACGGTAAAGTAGAAGGTATGCATGCAGTGTACTATTTTTAAAAAAATAATAGGCAACAGAATTATTTGTGAAAATTTCAGAGAATTCTTTTAAAGTTTACTATAAATAACAAAACACAAAAAAGTGAGGCTACAAACTAATGAGCATATATCAAGAGTGTAAAATTAGGCTAGCTAGTTCAAAGAGAATTTTGAATTAATTGTTGATGGTGTTGTATTCATATGCAGAAAAAATTCACACGTTTTCACAGAAGTTGAAGAGGTCATACCTGTCTAATTTAATTACTGATGATTTTACGAAAGAAATTTGGGAATTTAACAAAAGATATTAACTAAAAGAAAGAGAAATTATGTGGTTCAGCTATTGAGATACATATTTATATGGTTTAATTTACTATCTCTGTACAATAACTGAGAAATTCTAGTAGTTTCATACTCTTATTCCTATTTATGAATTTGAAGTAGGCATGAACAACACTTTGTGAAGAATAAGATGGCGCCATCATTTATTTTGTTAGCTTCTCATCAGCCACGTACATCGACTGAGTTAGTTCACGTTTATCCGACAACATGATCTCTGCTGTAATGCGAGCTCAATGGATACCCTTCTCATGTTAACTCTAACTCTCTATACAGAAAGAAGGGAACATCTGTTGCGTGCGTTATTTGACTAAACTGCCGTACACATATATTCTAGTATTTCTCCGTTCTTATTAATGTGCGCAGACGTTGTGGCTACTCGACGCCCACAACGTAAATCAAAAAGGCACTTGCGAAGAGTACGAATGTGTATTATAGCAGTAATCAAATTGGAAATTGTGTTAAGGTAATATTCAACAGTGAATTGACAAATGTTTGCGAAGTACATATAAAATCGGTCTGTATACACATATAATACAAGTATACAAATTAGATTAAAAAGCATGTTTACAGTTGGTTTAGGGGTACTACACATCTGTGATTTTCTAAACATTAACGAAAAAGCCTACAAAAAAGAGAACAAACACTTGCAATAGTGTCATTGCCGGATATTTCATGAAAACGGGTCATCAGGTGGATATCACGAAATCCTTTAAAATTGTCAGTATAGAAAAGCGGTCAGTTCCCCTCAAGTTTGCCGAAGCATTCTTCATCAACCGCCTGAAACCCCATTTGTGTGT